GTATTCTTAGTTAAAAACCTTGGGTTGCCAACCTGAACAGGACAAGTGCACGGCTCATCAAATTCGACGCGGTACACCGTATCCGTTGTTGTAGCATCTACATTCCATGTCATGTCCCCGATCTTGTGAATGCTGTCCATGTTCCCCTTGTACAGCTGAACCGCGAGCCTGTGCTGCACGTTGTTTTCTCTCACACGGAACGACGAGCTGAGCTGTCTACGGTCCTGTAAGTAATAGAATTAATGTCGTCTGTGAACGGAAGTGAAGTACTCACCGTTATCTCGAACTCTACCGCCAATTCTTCTACGGCCTTAATCAAGACATCCGCTAACGTAGCCTACTCTTGCATTTGCCTTGCCTTTTGAGGCCTGTCTCTTGTTTAATTCGAAGGTGCCACCTCTCTCCAAACATGGATGTGCTCATTACAACACCCCTTCGTTCAAACGCAGCCCATTGCTTGATTTTTTCGGGTCCTTAATAGAAAACGGTATTGACATGTCCTTCCAACAGCACTGCTCCTACCAAGATATTCGCGTTGAAGGTACTGAATCAGACGCGAACAGCCTTTGACTCGGAGGTGCATCAAAATCTCAGTGAGCTTCGCGTGAAAAACTGCTTCGTCGCCAATACGAAGCAAATTTCTGAAGGCTCCGATAATCAGAATCTTCGGTGTGTTCCCTACCACAGTGCTGACTGAGTTCTTCTTGCGTTCTTGAAAGCGCCTTCACAAAGGCAACACTTCAAAGTTGGAGTGTCGCTACTTCCCATCGTTGCGTTCATTGTTTTACATAAACTGACAGCTGGTCTCCACATACTAGTCTGGTACCTGTTCATGGTTTCACAAGATTCCACAGATCTCTATTTAATGGCTCGAAACTTCGATGGGAAGTGGCGAAAGATGCCCCTCCAAAGCACTGCGTCGGTTTACTTCTTTCGTTTTCGACCACAATGCCCATTTCAACGCGGATTTGCCCTGAGTAGACGACTGATCCATCCATAGCTCAATAGTACCAGGAAGCAACAATCAGGGCGCAGCGTCAGTCGTGTAAATCACACCGTGAGAATTTCGTCTCGTTGTTGAATACCCTACTCCTTTACGGGCGCTATATACCCGAGACCACCGCCAGACCACGTCGCACATTGGGGAAATCCCCAGCGAGAGAGCGGAGGGGTCATATTTGGTGCTGGAGGAGAGCGGGCCCTATTTGGTTGCTGTGGAGGGGGCCCCACTTGGTCGCTGAGTAGAGGGGGAGCCTTGTATTTGGTCTGAAATTTTTGTTTGTTACTTGATTTTTCTTGTTTCACGTGCAGACCGTTTCCCCGTTTCACCCCCACCCCTCCCCCCACTTCTGCCTTTGACCTCTTCCTCTACCTCCAGTGATGTTTTTCTTGAGGAAAAAAATGTGGGAATTCCTGGAAATAAATGGCAAAAATCCAAAAACGCCGGCATCCGGAAAAGTGCTATGAGATTGGGGAAACCTTGAAAAAGGTGGTAGCAGGTTAGGAAAGGAAAATGAGGGGGAAGGGTCGGCCCAGAAGAGGAAATTGCGAGAGGGATCGTATTTTGCAAATTTTGAGGGGGGTCCTATTTTGCTCCCGACTCTATTTTTCGGGAATTCCTGTATCTTTTGAAATGTATGCAGATCCTCTGGGATCCCCTCGATGGACACTCATAATGCGAGTTTCGGCACTGTTCGGGGAAGGGGAGGAGGGGGCACATGAGAAAAGTAAGACGAGAAGAATGTTCCGAATGCTCTGTGGAACAACCGTTTTCGTTAAATTCTCGTGCGTATTAATGCCCAAATGGATGTGCTCAGACGCCTTCCCCTTCGCTTCCTCCCTCCCCCCCCCCCTCCAGCCAAGCCAAGCACTACCCCTGGATTTATCGTGTGTAGGCGACTTTCGCTTACATCTGTGGGCCTGTTGTGTGGCAGTTAGTTTGATCAAGAGATGGATTAAGGCAAGTCTGCCAAGCTGCGAATGGCGGAAACCCCTGGGAACGCTACCATGTTGTTTGGGGAGGGGAGGAGTGTGAGGGAATGTTCGAGAACTTTTCTCTGTTTCTTGACATCAAGTCCTGCTTATTCAACGAGCCTCGCAACTGTAAAACAGTTCAATTCTGTCTTCTTCTCTTTGTCTTGCGCAGCTCTGAACATCACAACTTACGAATATCTTATCAGCCCCACATAAATAACCTTACAAATTTTATGTGCAACGCCCCATAGTTCCGATGCTGCAAAGTTCCGCGGGCGTATGCTGGCTGATCGTGGACAGTTTCTTGCAATTATAAAGGGCAGTTCTTCCCTGCCAACTAACCAGTCGCAAGGGGAACGGGGAGGCGGGGGGGGTGGCAATGGTCTTAGAAAGCTCTCCTTCTAGTAAATGGAATCGAAGAAGAAGATAATGAAAATAGGATGACTGCTGTAAACACATCAATTATAAGATCCCTACATTATGCCATCTGTTTATATTCACCAGTTTCCCCGACAGCAGCCTGGTTACACTTTCGTACCACACGTTTTCCACTATAGTGCCTCATGTAAGCCAACAAAAAGAGTGCCAGCGGTGGAGTAGTTGAGAGGTGCTAGTTGAGGGGCGCTGCTTGGCTTAGGGGGCGGCCTTTTGCACTCTCGCTAGTCCCTTTTAGTCTCCTTACTTCATGTTCAATAACAAGTCTCACTTCGGTATTACCTGTAAACTCGTGCGGAGCGCCGGAATGGGTTACAAGGTGGAGCAAACGAGAATTACTTAACAAGAGTTGGCCTGCCCAAGCTTCATGACTGCCCCACCAAGCAGAAACTGCTCCCTTGAGAGTCTTCCATGCCGTAATAGGCAAGAATACAGGAACCCAGGATGAACAGATTGTCGTGGCATTCACCACGATGGATGTCACAGATGGCCTGCTGGCAAATAGGAAGAGGTAGTATGCAGAGTACAGCATCGTGATATGTGAAATGGTACTGTCAGTACGACAAACCCCCTCGAGAAAGGGTCTTGGTACGACCCCTTCTAGCTGGAAGAAGGTCCTTCGAGCGAGAATGGAGGGGGAGGGGGGGAAATAGCACATGTGAAACGGGACACGAAACATCAACAACGGGAAAAATTTTTCCTACTGTGGCTTCTTCTCAAAAGCACACACGACCCCCCCCCTCTGTCCCTACAACGACCATATACAACCCCCCCTCCTCAGCGGACAGGTACGACCCCTCATGTGTTTCACACAACGATGCTGTACCCTGGTCGTAGGTGCAGTCTTCAGTCTCAGATTTAACAGAGTAGCGCACTGCTCTCGATTTGTTGATGAGCTGGAATCGTCCCATGATGCCTGCAAAATGGCAATTGAGCCGCCGGTACGGTATTTAGCGCTACACGTCATTTGTTTGAGCTTGAAAACCGTAAAAAAGTTAGCGCCTTACACTTATTGATTATGTTCGTGCAAGTAATGGAACGAAGAGTGCCGAGAAGCGGGTCACAGGCAAACTTATAGAACATCTTTGCGAGTGCAACCTTTACAGTTGCACGGAGCATTCCATGGTCATATACTTCGCGGAAATTGCTTTAACATGCCGTTGCTGGACAGGAGTGGCCATGCCGAGCCGCCCCGCGAGAAGACGAGTTTGGCTGCACAATTTAGAACTCTTAATGTTAAATGACTTGACACCACTTGGCATGAGTATCGACCATTGTGTTCAAAAAATCCCCGCTTATCGCCGCGCCATGTGCCGCTGGCGGCGGCGCGAGCAAATTGCGATAGTCTTGTCCATCTCTCATTCCTTTCCGAGTTGCGATTTGCCTTAAAAAGCGCTATTCAATAAAATTTCGTGAAAAACTGCTTCTATCCGCCCTCATTAGTTCCACAAGCAGTAGGTAACTTTAGAATCCATAGGGAAGTTCTAACAACATGGCGGACCTGCGAATGAAGATGCTATTGGCCGCCTGCTCGGCTACTCCTTTGATCAAGGGGAGAATTGCACGGTGATGTATGTGCAACACGAAGCCGCGGCTTCAAAAAAGAGAAGCCATGAAATAAATAGCATTGATTCTTGAGGGGAGATACGTTTGGCTCGAAACCGTTTATTCATTATTCTAGGCTGCTTATATAGCATGTAGAAATCTCATTAAGAGGCTTCATGGCAAAATATATGTGAAAGGCAAAACATGCTTCATGGCAAAATATATGTGAAAGGCAAAACATAAGTGAAAGGTGATTCAGTCAGTAGATAGCTAAAGGTCATATATTTTTAAAAAGAGTGCTGAATTCAACTAGAAGAATATCCGAGCATATTGAAATAATTCTCAGCAGAAATTCTGTAGGATTACAGAAACTCCCAGGGCAAGAACTTGTCAGTGGCTCTTTTTGATTAAGAGGGATTTTCGAACAAAGAATAGAAATGTTCTATAGATGCAGAGGATAAGAAGTACCAATCCCAGAAGAGGGGTAACAAATTTTAACAATGCAGCACTCAAAGAAAAAATCGGGAATCAATCCAGAAAATGTTTCACCAATAGTGCCTAAGACAGAACCTAAAAAGGATGTATCGGTGGTCGGTTCCTTGACAACAATTTTCGATTGTACGTCGCCCTTGATTAGACCGTCGTTGACGAACTGGAGCGATCCTCTGACGTTATAGTTGTCGTCCCTCCAGGGCAGGAAACGATGCATTCTGTTGATATGGTCGAAGTAGTGAAGTGAAGCTTTATTTGATTCAAGTGCCCGTTTCTTGTGCATTTTGCGATTTGCGTCTGTGTCGGGCAAATAATGCTGGCGGTCACTTCCTCATGAGAGCTGCGACATGACAGTGTGAGTTCGGCGCCGGCTAAGCAGTTGTAGCAACCTGCAATGTCACTCGTTTCAACTTCGCAGGAACTGTTCGACTGACGAGAGGTAATTTTCAGATCTTCCGCTACGAGATGGAGTTGGATGGCGCTTCCGACATTGGTCTTTGCTAGTATGGCGTTGTTACGTGAGTAGATCATGAAATTTTTCGACGACTGCGGCAGAGGAGATGCTTGCATGAGGGCTTCCATATCTCCTGGGCTACATGTGCAGGATACTTTCTGGAGGCCTTTTGTGCATGTACATGCGTTGCTAGGAAAGATACATTCGAATTCCTCGGCTGCTCTTCTCGTGGGACATTGTAGTTGCCCTGCACTGTGAGGTTCGAGTTTCCCTTTATGAACTGGTTTCACTATTGAAATGTCAGTTCCTGTTTCCATGAAGGTTGATGACAGTATCGGTAATTGAGGGACGATGTTACCGATGAGACTGAGGCGGATGTTGTTCCACGATGCTGTGCGTCCTGGTTGGAGTTCCAGCGTGGCACTTGATGTTGAACCTTGTTGTTGTAGTACAATGTCGACGTTAATGACGATTTCCCAGCTTGGGGGGACCACGTAAAGACAGTTGAGAGTATAGGGCTCGTTGGTACGCGTAAAGACAGTGGATAGTATGGCTCGTTGGTACCGCGTAAAGTCGATGGAACAAACAGCTTGGAGTGCAGAAAAAGCATCCATCGCAAAAAAGGCATCCACAGCTCCTAGAGCAGAAAGAATATCCTGGACTATTGTTCGCAGTGTCTGAGAATTCTTTGATTTTGTCCGATGGCGTTGTGCTATCACAGGCATTTGGGATACAGCTGCCGGCATGGTTAACAGCGATGAACTGACTCCGAGAGCAGCTTGTGGTCGCGGGTGAATAATTCCACGTTCTTCTGACATTGGAAGTCAATTCCATTCACTTTGATGGAGATGATTCCAATAGGATTGTTAAGTTTATCCCTCAACGTTAAGCAGCTTTCCTGTTGGAGCGGTTGTAAGGTGATGAGGGTAGCTTCGTTGAATGTACAGGTTTCTGTGTCTTCAGTGGTGAGGCATACCGTTTCATGAGCCGTAAGTGTTGAAACTTCCGAGCACCCTTCAGCGGACTGAAGACTGAGTAAGATCGCCATGAGACTTGCGAGATATCTGCGACTGTGGTTGCGTCTTCTACGACTGATGTAGGCGCGAAGCGGGCTTCGTTGTATCCGAGGCGATCTGCGAAGAAATCTCAGAGGATTGATTTTTGAGGTGATGAACATTAGGAGCCTGATGAGTGGCACTGTGGCTTTCATGAGGATAGCAGCCGCTGGGGAGTGACGGATGAAGACGAGAAGAAAAGCGAAGGAAGACGAGGAACAGTGCTGCAACTGATTATCTGAAGAATAGTTCCAGCACCTGTTGTGTTTGTATAGGTATTCAGGCAGCAGGAAAACCAATGTAACCGTTTCACATATTGGGTGCGCTTTGCAGGATAGTACTCTCAAAGTAGCGCCGCTGAAGCTGTTGGCGTACTTTCCATCTTCCATGAATAGTTGTACTTCATCGAGGACCTGCTGCCATTTCGTTGTGTCCCACCCTGCTAGCACTGCATTCGATATCTGAATTTACTTCCGCGATAAGTGAGAATTTTTTTAGGAACAACTCCGCATCGGTTTTGGTGGTTGGTTGCATTAAGGATTTACAGCACAGTGTTAGACGAGTCAAATGCCGGTTACTATATGTATCAGCAACAAAACAAGTCAGTATCACAAGAAGCGCTCTTGTGCTTATATTCTTTAGTAGGGTTTGGATTCACGATAACGAAGCCGCATTCCATTGGCTCATATGAAGACTTAAGAGCAATCTGGCTGATAACAGTTTCCTGATCAGCAAGCGAGACCCCTTGAGCCGCTGCCCTTTGTCTGATAACTTTGTCCACCAGGTTCTCCATCGTAAATTCTTTGATTTTTTTTCTTTGCTTGCGTATACTCTTCGACATCCCAGGGAACATCTGGACGTTTAGCACGAGCAAGTATTTGTTGAGGAAACGCCATTTCTAGCCGGCATGTTTGAAATCTTTCATCCAAATTTTGATCGTATTCTTTTTCTTGACTAGCAGGCAACCTTGTTGCCACTCCATTTGATGTCGAAACATTGAATAGAAGAATTGCCAGCAAGCGCAGCCAACCAAGCAGCAGTTGCAGTCAGCGAGTAAGTCATAGTCGTTCTCAAACTTGGGTAATTACTAATAACTTGGCTGACGATGCAGTCGGCGAGGGTTCTGTGCAGTCGCTGAGGCTCTAGTTGACGCATGTGAGACTGCTCGTTGCCAGTGGTCGCATTTCTTGCAGGGAATACGTTTTCGGGCTCGAAACCGTTTATTATTTATTCTAGGCTGCTTACATATAAGCAATGTTTAGAAATTCTCATGTAGGAGGCTTCAACATGCTCATGGCAAAAATTATCGTGAAAGGCAAAACATAAATTGAAAGGTGATTCAGTCAGTAGATAGCTAAAGGTCATATATTAAAAGGTGATTCAACCAAGAAGAATTCCGAGCATATGATAATTCTTCAGCAGAAATTCTGTAGGATTACAGAAAGAGAAGTTAGCAAAAAGAGGACAACAAAAAAGAGACACGGTGAGCGATTACATTGAAAAGAAGAAAAGTGATCACAATGAAAAATGAAAGCGGCAGAAGTTATACGAGGGGGAGGGCATTGTGCACTTTCTCTGCTTCACTACCGTCAAATAGTAGAGTAGCATAAGTTGAAAGAATTGAGAATCAACCAAACAAAATTTAAGTGTTCCAGTATACAATTTGAACATTCCGCCCCTCTCTACAGACCCCTGACTGAACGAGAGTTCTAACTACACCTGCGAATCATAACACTCATTGTCAGATGACAAGCTTTGTTCCTAGGTAGAGGAAAGTTTTTGGTAAGTAGAGCGAAACAGCTCGTGGAATGGGAGATCTGGCGTCAGTGCTAGCTACGTTTTCAAAGAAAATACTCCATGACCAAGCCTCTAGTGTCAGCTGGCGAGAGTGCTAAGCTGTAGGCAAAAGTCCTTGATCCTGAGCGGGACTTGAACTCGCACCTCAGACTTTTGGGGCGAGTGCGCAGAAGTCGAAGTCGATGCTTGGCTTACCAAGATGAGTTACTCCACACCAACCGACAAGGAAGGTGCTGAGAACAATATCCCACGAGAAGAATGAAAAAAAATTCAAAAATTTTTGAATTTTTATTGGATCTTTATAGTCTTTTGCAATGAATTTTAGGTGCCTCTTTGTAATTTCATGTTCAGATTATAGAGAGGGCCCGGCCAGCACAATGCTACGAAAAACGCAGTATCTGAACGAAAGCACGGCATTAAAAGTAAATAATATAGTAAAGTGCTCACCACTTCCGATACGCTTTAATATTCCGTCCTCCACCAAATTTAAAACGTCTTCTCACCTATTCAAGGCCTCATGAAGTTAAGTTGTGATTAATGCAATGACTCAAGATTGTCTGAACCTGAAGATGAATTTTGCAAGGGTTCTGAACACCGCTGAGATTCTTTTTCGTCCTGGTTCTGCGATCGATGAGATCGCCTATCGCAAGGGCTCTGAACCCCGCTGAAATCCATCTCGAGCGGGCTCCGAGGCAGAATGGAATCCCTTTTGCAAGGGCACCGACATGAGGGACCACGGATGGAATGAGGGATCTAGGAAGGTCGCTGAGATGCTCCTTAGGGTGCTTTTCCACCCTCAATAAGACTCCGCTTTCACGCGGTCTTCGATAAGGATCCCTCTGCACATATCTGTAGACCAGAAGTGGTCTTTGTGACAATCCGAAAACTCGGCATCACCGGAAGAGCCAATTCGAGAGGCATGGTCAAGGTGCTGGTAGGGTATGGGCCAGGACGTATGACCACAGACAAACTGAGCTGGGCCCGCCCGCTATGGGCGGGGCTTTCTCTTGTGCCCTTCACAAAAGCCGGCAGTGCAATGCAATTTATCACCCTCAGGCGGCAATATTTGCTGCTAGCAGCGCTATGCAGGAGTCAACAGTCAGATCCTCATCCGAGCATGCCGGATGAAATGGGCGAACTTGTCCCAGACTTTCATCTTCAGGATACGTTTGTTTTTCTCATACGAAACTTTTTCCGGTTATGAAAAATGTGAAGTCGCTCACAAGATGCTGCGAGCTAAAGTACCCTAGAGTTTTCGCACCTGATGAGGAATCGAATAGCAGAGGTCCCATTTCGCCAGAAGCAACGGTGTGTAAGAATTTGGGGTAGTCCACATACTTTTGTTACGCACTGTATATTACCTTCAGGGCGACTTGTTGCCAACCACCACGCGAAAAGTTGTTGCCTTACAGAAGCTCTTTAGTACCATGTCGAGAGAGGCAGCTGGTTTTGAGGTGCTTTTAAAAATCGTATTTCACCCAGAAGATGGCCGCTGAGGGATTAGTTTAGATGGCAGTCAGAAAGAGCTAAGTCAGTGCTACACGAAGACTGTGGTGGAATTCCCCAGCTAAGCTTCGGGATCTCGAGCAGTGTCATTTTCCAAATGTGTGACCCTGAGCTGTGGTGGAGTAGGCAAACATTGCTCGGTTGTGGGATCAAATAACGAGGATTTTCATCTTCCATTCGCAGTTAGTTGCAGGAGGACTCGCTGTTCACCACAGCATTGAAAGAAAAAAAACTTTCTGCGATAAACCCATGAATGGGCCGTACAAAAAGTAACACCTTCCTACTGAAAGAAAACCAAGAATGAACAACCGAAACGAGTGTCTGGCCATTACAAATGAATTCCTGCCGTTTGTATCAGAGTGCGAGCTACAGTAAGGACTACGTGCGCTATGACAATTTTGACTTATGCGACACAATGAGACTCAAGTGAGACTCATTCGTCCTTACTACTTACTGACACATAGCGTGAGCTAGGCTCCGCACGGTGGAACCTCGGTGAGTTGTTCGCAGTTATTACTAAGTTGTTCGGGAACGACCGGGACACGGGATCAGAAACCCTAGAGTGGGAGGGCGTCTGGTCTGGTGGGTGACAAATTGAAAGCTTCTAGTCATTTTCAGGCCACGGCCACTGAGAAGATCAGCGGGTCGAAATGTTAGTTCAGTAAAAGGTTCCATATAACAATCTCGATTGCCAGAAGTATTCATATATTGTTTCCACTGTGTTTCTGTGATTGAAGAATCTTTCCGTTCGGGTGAATTTCTTGTTTCCCTAAGTTGACGGCGCTGCAAAATTACTAAAAGATTAGCAATGGCAAAATTACTTGAACGGTTACGACCATCCCAAAGGGTGTCGTAGTTCTCTGAGAAGACCTCTCCCCGTGCACCTGTTTATTTGGGGGAATACATAGGGAAGGGCGGTCTTGGAAGGCGGCAATTAGAAGGGTGTGGAGCCGTATTTATCCACAATCTTGCATTCTGCTCCTAGTCATGTAAGAGGAAGTTTCATGCAAATAAAACCACAACTTCCTGAAATTCACAGGCAGTCCCTGCAACTGTAAATTTTTTCTCTAGTCAAATGTTCTTGTACATTTGGGGCAAAAGTCATCGGAAAAAAACAACAACAGCTAGCTATTTGAACCACATCCCGTTCACTTCTTCTCCCAAGCGGTTATCCTGCGCCGTCGCTTGGTTCAGTCAGGTCTTTCTTGAACAATTCTCCGCATCTTTTTTTGGGCTCCTCGTGGTCGCTTGCCTTTGCTTCGAAGTTCCAATGCCTTCCTCACTGGGTGTTCCTCGGGCCTTCTCAGCACGTGCCCATACCACCTTAGTCGCTGCATTATAAGAGACATGGTACCGGAGTAGTAATGGAGGAGGAAATTCGAAGGAACGCCTTGTGCTGAGACTGCCATTTCACCCATCCCTGTGCGAAGTTACAGATATCCTGCCTTTTATTTTTAACT